CTGCTGGGGAGCAGGATGGAGGGCTGGGCTGGGGGAGCAGGGGGGTGTAGGAAGGAGGGTGGCACCTGTGGGGGCTGTTCACCGGTGCCAGCTGTGCCCCAGCCCCACGGGGGTGGCTTTTCTCCATCACGGTGCTGCCCTGCTCAGCTGTAAGCAGGTCTGTGTCCTCCAACCCACGCCCACGTCCCTCCAGCGCTGACTGCAGGGGAGCGTGGAGACCTCGCGTGCCGAGGGAGGGCACGTGGAGCGCTCTGCTGAGGCAGGAGCTAAAAGCCTCCAGAAAATTGTGACTGGGAGCAGAGCCCTGTCCCCAGTCCCACTGGAGGGATCTCAGCTGGCATCCATCTGCCCTGCTTGTGTCCCCAGCCAGACCTGGTGGAGCGCCTCATCTCCGTAGACATCAGTCCTGTCTCAACTGCACCCGTGTCCGAGTTCTCTGCCTACATCTCTGCCATGAAGTCGGTGAAGATCCCCGATGGTCTGTCCCGCTCTGCAGCCCGCCAGCTGGCTGACGAGCAGCTACGACCAGTGGTCCAGGTAGGAACCCCACTCTCTACAGCTGCCTGAAAGGAGGGTGGAGAGAGGTGGGGGTGGGTCTGTCCAACCAAGGAACAAGTGACAGGACAAGAGGAAATGGCCTCAAGTTGTGTCAGGGGAGGTTTAGGTTGGATATGAGAAAAAATGTCTTCACCAAAAGGGTTCTGAGGCATTGGAAGGGGTTGCCCAGGGCAGTGGTGGAGTCCCCATCCCTGGAGGTATTTAAAAGCCGGGTAGATGTGGTGCTCAGGGACATGGGTTAGTGGTGGACATGGCAGTGTTGGGTTCATGGTTGGACTGGACGATCTGAAAGGTCGTTTCCAACCAAAACGATTCTGTGATTCCTTGGATGGGGTTTGTGCTCCCAGACCTGTGCCTGGGACTGGAGCACGGGGCTTGAGGGCCGTGAGACTCCAGCTCTGCTCACTCACCGCTGGCATAGGCAGCTGGAGGACATCTCACCAGGGCTGCAGGGGCCACAGGAACAGGACAGCATGGGAGACAGGCAGAAGGGGGTGGAGGGGAGAACGGAGGGTGCTGGGTGGGCTTGTGGCTCTGACTGCAGCGTGTACAATCCCCTTCTGTGGCAGCTCCCGCAGCTGAGGCAGTTCCTCCTCACCAACCTGGTGGAGGTGGAGGGTCGCCACGTCTGGCGGGTGAACCTGGAGGCTATTTCCCACCACTTGGCAGATATCATGAGCTTCC